CTATGGTATAAACACACAGAGGTATTTCGTAACGTTTTGTAACACCATTTTGAAGGCAGATTATTGATGTAATCTAGACATCTGGATTTACGCCCATGTACCTAAAAGCAGAATCTGCCCACTGCTTATTCCATGTTAAAGTGAACAATAAAAAAATCAGACACTGGATCCTTTCTCTTTTTCCTTGTGGGGGGGGGGAAGTTGAAAGAGCTCTCACAGACAGTATTGTGCTACCCCAGCAAAAGAAACAGGAGAAATGGAATCCATTTGGATAGGGTTCATTCATGCATTAGAACAATATATATCCAAAGTCTTCATTGCAAGGCTGAGATTTTTATTCTGGTATCAAAAACACACACCTCCAGTTTAAGGATTAGGGACTGCCCAGTTAAATGTCTATTTTGCCTCTGATTTAAATGAGGTCATGATTCCACCCTGTTTGGCATTATATACATCAGTAAAAATATATCCTTGGAACCTAATCTTGCCCCCGCTCCAGGGAGATTTTTGCCTGCATTAGGAACAGCAAAATGTAACCTACACACTGACTCCTTTTGAATCACTTCTGACTGTACACGAGGCTGGATCCTGCTCCCACAGAACTTCCATTAGCTTCACCAGGGGTGTGAATGTGGCGCATACTCGTAACACAATTTATTCCACGGGACTTACTCCTACAACAAAGCTCAGTCAAGGGTCTGTTGAAAATCCAGGGCACAGAGATTTCAAATTGAGTGAAAGACATTTCAGCTCGGACATACCTTTCAAATCCTGCTGCATGTTTCCTCCTTTCTGCGAAAGTCGCTGGGAAGGGAGTCACTCTCTTCTCCATTGCCCTTGGAACTTTAATGAGTATTGCTTTGGTTTATTTCAAGAGAAGCTATTGAAAAGCAAACAAAGTGTCTCACAAGACACTACAGAGAGAAAAAACTGGGTGACACAGGAAAAAATGCTGTGAATTAATTTTTAAAATGGAAAGAAAAGTACAGGTGAGGTATTTTTCCATATCATTTCTTCCATGATTCTGCTCCTCCAGCTGTTTTGTCTTTGATGTCTATGACTTGCCATTCATATTCCATCCCTATGCTTGGAAACTGCTGTCCATGAAGTGAAAGGTGAAGGAAAAGAAAAAAAAAAAGTAGAACGGAGTGAGGAAGACATGAAGGGGTGCAGGGAGGAAGAGATCTATTGAGTGTAAAGGTGTCCAAAGGAGGGACGGAAACATGTTCCCCAAGGTCATGGTCTTCAGTGGTGCTGCTTGTATTTTCAGGCTGTTAAAGACAAGCGTAGCAGGTGTACAAGAAGAGCCAAACTCCACATGCTACAGTAAGTGCAAAATCTCAAAACGCAGAAGCCATCACATCAAGGGTTTCCTTGTCCTCCGATAGAGTCCGCCCACAGTGGTTCTCTAGAAACAGTTCTATTATCAAGTAGACATCCATTGCTTTTTTGTGTTTTTTTGTATTTTTATTTAAAAAGTAGATTTTCTAATAATATATAGAATATATAAATAATAATAATTAAAAAAACCTATTTGGGATTTCTTTCTGCTCTCCAACCCATCTGTATTTTTCATGGTTTGCGGATATATATATTAAAAGACAAGAAAATCAACTCTGCTCACTATTAAAAAAAATATTAAATCCACCTTTTACGTTTCCAGAGAGAAAGAGAAGGGGGGGAGGTGGGAGGAAAACAAATTAAAATGAAAAAAATAACAGGAAAATCAAAACCTTCTGTCTCTTCAAAGTAGTTGTCAAGAGCTTTAAACATTTGTGCTTTCAGTGTACACCCCACAGGAAAAACAAAAACAAAACCAAAAACAAAACAAAAAAACCCCAAGGACCTAAAATTAAAAAAAGAAAAAGGTAATAATAATCCTAGTAGTAAAAAGGACAGCAAATTGCTCAGAGTTTGTGTGTCTTTTTAGTTATTTTAGCAGCCGCCCTTTTTGTCTGCAGAGGGAGAGCTGCCACCACAGCCACCTCCTCGGCTTGAGAGAGGCTCTTCTGCATCATCCTCGTCAAAGCCATGAAAGGTCGAGGTGTCGCTTTCTGACGTGGAACCGAACAAGTCCTCCGTAGTGCGTGCTGGCGCTGCTTCGTCCCTCCTGCCTTCTCTTCCCAAATGAGCTGACATGTATGATGAATATATCAGCACATGGGTTAAGCAACAGGCATCATCATCATAATTTTTTTAATCATCATTATTATTAAACAATTCAGACTATTGAGCTCATAGGTGTGTGCTTGTATGTGCCCGCGCACTTCAACAACATAGCTCAGTAGAACTGCAGTAAGAAAAATAAAAAAAGGATCAGTTTCTCTTTCAAAGAAAAAAAATCTACAAACAACACAGGTGCCCATAGCTATGGCAGCGAAAGGGTTATTTGTGTTTTCCTCTCTTCAAAAGACATTAAAATATTTCCTCGTGATTACTTAGATCAATTTTTAAAGATTTTTAGACCGTATAAGTAATTAGACACTGTTAGCTCTAAGCGCAATGACTGTCCTTCAGACTGGCATCAACTGTCACAAATTTACTGCTATAGAAATGTAACCCACTAGATAGCTCATCAACCTCAGGACTATTTTTTATCCCTGTCCTTCACCTGATCCTAAAGAGCCTCCTCTGTAGACAAAATGAAATACATTTTGAAGACTAAGTGAAAGTAACCTAAACAAATGCTTTTATTCCAATTTCATGGCATCTCCTTCAAAAATAAAAAACCCCAAAACAAATATATACAGTTCAACAACTAAAACAACTAAGATGAGAAGTGGCCTGTCTTGGGGAACACTGAAAAGTTCAAATGTGTGTGAGTTAATCCAACTTTCAATATGGAACAGGAAATTCTCCACACAGGACATCAGTAGCAGCAACAACAAGAACAACAAAAAGAAGACTCTTAAAAAGAGAAGTCAAATACTGAAACCTGCGAAACTGAGGTTTATTTTCTCCCTCAATCAAACATGTTATGTGATTAATAGTATAGCCTTCAAATTCTCTCTTCAGGAAAGGTAGAGAAAAAGATGTCTCTTGTGCCCCAGGAAAACGAAAGTGTGAGATTTTAGGGAACGGCTATTTTATTATTCAGAAACAGTAGCATGGTATTAAGTAACCAACTGTTTGGTCCCCGCTCCAGCTACAGGAATCAGCCATATAACAAGTACACTGCATTGCTTGAGACACGAAGAATTAAATCCTGTTCACAAAAAGAAAATGGATATAACAGAATAATTGGCAGATGAACCACCTTGTAGAGATGTGATTTTACTGACTTTGTGAAGGGAAGAAACAATATAATTTCCATGACCTCTCTTTCAGTATAATGAAAATGTTCTCCATTATCAAGAAAGAGAAAGATAGCAGCCACCAAAGAGGTTTCATTGTTTTAGTTTACAGATTAGTGTGTGGTTGTACCTTAATCACTTTCATCACACATCAGTCACACCATTGCAGACCCCTATGAACGACCCAGGTGGGTCAGAATTTGTACAAGGATAGCATTTAATGGAACTGATTTTGCACAATTTAGGTTACATGCTGATCTACTTGTTCTATCACACTAAGGAATCAAGGGAATTAATGTATTTGTGTTACATTCTGATATAATCACCATAGCAATGTTTAAATAGCAAAAAAATATGGATCCATCTCACTGTGCCGTATCAGGACAATGCTGAAATGAGTTATATTGAACTATAACAATCAAGGGGAAGGGCAATGGTCTTCCAAGATGGCACCACGGACCACATGAGCTTCCCCCTTCAGTTATTAAGAAGCAAACACATATCCACTAAAAGGTCCATGCCCCTGACTGCACAGCATTCATAAGGACGCCCCTGGAGAAAACCGAAGGGGTTGCCATCGGTCCTCTGGTGACCAGTCAGTATCACTTCAGAATATCTTCAAAGGTCACAACAACTGCAGAAGGCAATTTGCCAGTGAGAGTCTAGTCCTGCTCCCACTGAACGTGGTAAGAGGCTTACTATGAATTTCAGCGGGAGCATAAAAAGGCCATTCCCTCAGCACAAGAACACTCCACATCGCATTTCAGCCATCACGCAACAGACATCTTTCAGTGACTACAGTACAGAAGCAGCAGCAGCAATACTGAATTTCAAGGTTTTTTTGGTTTTCAGATTTCCATATGATGGTCTTATCACCACTAGTATCACCACTGTCCAGAAATCTCACAACTGGAAACTTGGACCAAAGCTGGAATATGCAGTTGTTAAAGGTTTCCCATTCCCTCTACCACCACCACCACCACCTCCCATGCGAGCTATAAATAACTGCTCAGCTGGGATAAAATTCCCAAAAAAAAGAGAAAGAAAGAAAGAAAGGAAAAAAAAAGAAAGAAAGGAAGGAAGAAAACAACAGTCCAGAAATAAAGACAACTCAGAACGGGAAAGACACAATTGCCTACATTTAAAAAGAGAGAAGGGAAGAAAATGGAGAAATAAAAACCTCTTTAAACAAAATTAATGATAGTCATCTTGTAAGAGGATAATTCTTGACAGCTACCCCCATCCCTACCCTGTAATTTCCTCCTTCTATCTTTTTTGGATGAAGAAATGCATGAAATGTGTAATCAATGGAAATGCTTGTCATGCAACTTTCATAAATCTTGAAAGTAATTTATAGTTGTAATTGCAGCATTTGAAGACAGAGCCCATTCTTTAACATTGTCACAGGATTTTCTCCTTCCATTTGAAGAACAACTAGTACATGTACCAACGTTCACAGAAGCCAATAAATACATTAAAACTTTATTATTTCGTAGGACGCCATTAGCTTAAAAATGTGAATCCAACAGTGGATTTTATGACAGAAAATTTCCCAGTCATCCTTTCCCACAAACACAGACAAGAGGTAAGACCTCGTCCTCTATCCCCTCCCAAATGCACTGCCTTTCTTCAAAATCTTCAGAAGGAGCAAAAAACAAATCACACAAATGCCTTTGTACAAGAAAGTTGCAAGAAGGAGTCACCTACCAGAGCGCCCACAGTCTGAGCACGATACAAGTTCCTCAGGCCGGCCACTTTTTTTGTTCATATTGGAGCCTCCGAGGCAGAAGTCACAGTAGTTATTGGGAATGATGACCCCATCTGGTCCTTTCTGGGCTGCAGTCGGGTTAGAAATCAGATTTACTTAAAGAGCATTCAGTTTGGACATTTCCCCCTTCTCCTTGATACGATGTTAGCTTGGTGAGTTTGCAGGCCACAGTCTTCCCAAAATATTGTCAATTAGAACAAAAAGTGAACCGTATAAATCACCTCCATTTTAAGTACACCCTGTATTGTATCTATTTTACCTGAAATGAACTTTATTATTCAGAAAAACCATTTCCTTTAGGCCAGCCAGGCTGGTCCTTCACAAGAATCTGCTGCCAAAGATCCCTGGGATCTAGAATCAGGAACTTCGTAACACGCACAGGCATAGAAACAATCCCTAATGCAGAATCAGACCTATGCTGTCAGTGAGGCAAGCCTGGTTTTTCAGACAGCAGTCTGAAAACTGTAAGCCCACAAAATACAAATTCAGAAAGGAAAAATACATTCCTTAAAAGTCAAAAACCAACAGCAAGGAGATGGGAGGATAGGTACCCTAACTGGTTTTATTTCAAGTAGCTTTTTGGGGGATTACATCTCAAAGTGGCAGGGTGTCCTTAGTCAAGAAGTTGGTTCAAACGCCCATGAATATTCACAGGCAAAGCCACTTGTGGGTGGTTCACTCAAGGGTTAAGCTACCTGCAGCAGAGTGCATGTCCCCTGGGAGGAGCAGGGAGGGCAGCAGGTCCAGCACTACTCCAGCACCCAGCACAGGTGCAAGGAGTCAGCCTGGGGCAGACGTCCCAGCCGGCAGAGTTAAAAACTCTTTCAGCCAAGAAAAAAGGAGGGAAATTACATTCTTATTTTCCAGCTAGGAATAGTTGGAAAGGAACAGACACGCACTGGGTCTTAAGTAGAGGAGGAGGCAGTTCCCCTAGAAAGGAGAGAAGGGCAGAGGTCTTCTGCATTCCTATTAGTTGAGCAGAACAGCAATGTGCTTCTTTTCTCGCTCACAACTGCCATTTTTCTCCTCTGCTCTCCAGAGAGGGAAAACTTCTTGTTCCTGCACACTCTAACTAGGAACTGGGGAAGGGAGAGGGGAGTGGGGGGAATGGTTGGTCTTCGTCTTTGTTTCTCCTTCTTTAACTTACAAATTCCAGTGGTATACCTGGCTTAATCCTACCCCATGAAGATTTCTACAAACTAGAAAATGAAGACCTTTAAACTGTACCATCTATATTTAATTATCTTTTTAATGCATATTTTGTAACTTGCAGATTTTTAACAGATGTTTTGACAGCCTTTATTAATGGTCTTTTTGTCCACATCCAAATTTCCCCCAAAGAACAATGACATTCTAAAGGGCTTCTGGTAGCAGTCCAAGACATACACTTAAAATTAAAATCTCCTCCGAGTTCAATCTGCTTTTCTGGTTTGGGTGCATCGAGTTATTCATTTACTTCCAGCTGTTGATTAGCTGAGCTTTCTGGAGATCGGTAACTGAAAGATTGCAGGTAAGGTGAAATGAAGAAAAAAATTAAAACCCATAAGGTTGCAAATACATCAGTATCTTCCTGCATGGTCACTGAGTCCCTGACAGTATGTACTAAGCAATGGGCTTTGCTCTGAAATAGTCCTGGTTAGCAGATCCCCAGTTCTCCCAAAACCAGAGAGAAGCTCCCAGTGTTAGGTTAGCATTTTGCCTGTTCGCAGAGAGGCATTTAATACGTGCATGCCAGATAAGCAAAAAAAGAACAGGAACCAGGTGGAAGCCTAGTGCACTGGCTCATTTTAAGAGCTGTAACAAAATGATCATAAAGTTGCTACTTGTACATATTTTGTGTATAAAAAGCAGATCTCCCTAGCATTTATTTTTCCCACTACAGCCCCATTCTGAAAAAGTTAAGTAATTACTTCTTTATATTGTGCTGCATCTACAGACAGGCCATGTGCAATGCAAACTCAGCAAGCTCAACGTTCAGTGATTTTTTTTTTTTTTGTTCCTTATTATGTTACTTCACCTTTCATCCAAGTTTCTTAAAGTGCCTTACAGACACTAAGATCCTAATATTAACCCTCAGTGAGGTCAAAAGCCTCTTCTGCCATTGACTCTAACGAAAGTGTTGCTGGGCCCTAATTAAGTCTCATGGTGAGGAGGCAGCATTGCATTTTACAGCTGAAAGTCTTGGAGGTAGAGTGATAAACTGACTTACTCACAAACACACAACAATTTTGTGGTGAGGCCACAAATAAAAGCAAGCATTCAAGGTGCCGGCCAGCAGACTTAGGAAAGAGCTCCACTTCTACCACCGCTCAGAATGGTGTAACTGATTTAATACTCTGCATATACTGACTTAAATTTTTCCAATGCAGCTTATGACCCTAAGATCCACTGACTGTGAAACTGGAAATGGGACAGGGGACCTTGTGAAAACACATATACTGATCAATTCGTCTGCGGTGTGTGGGACTGGTGGAGGGTATTCACTGACTGCAATGAAGCTGAAGGGATTCTCCTAGACTACTGGCAAGGGAATAAGCATGGGTTTTGATCACCACCTTTTTCTTTTTCCTTTCCTCTTCCTCTTCCTCTTCCTTTTCCTTTCCTTTCCTTTCCTTTCCTTTCCTTTCCTTTCCTTTCCTTTCCTTTCCTTTCCTTTCCTTTCCTTTCCTTTCCTTTTCCTTTCCTTTCCTCTTCCTTTTCCTTTCTTTTTCTTCCAATTAATGTCATTTTTAATGTGAGTGCCTACGTGCTCATCTATTGCTCGTCACTCATAAATATGGACCTGGCTCAGTTGAGTGTGATAGAGATGTCAGGCCTGAAAAGTCATACACAGATAAGAAGTTTCTGAAGTTACATCAATGATATCTTAAATGATGTATCTCTAGAGCCAAATAAGCTAGGCAATGTTATTCTCTTCAATGTTTTTTCATTCTAACAGGTGCAAAAACTAGAATCAAACCTGACTCAATCTTATTTTCTTGATCAGTACTGTACAGTGAATTAAGCCCCAGGCTAAATCACAGAAGGTTTGAGAATAAAGAGCTTTCCAGATGATAGTAAGCAGAGTTCTTACTTTCAAAGGATTTTTTTTTGTACGTCCTTGGAGTTTTTAATTCTATTTTACTGTAGTTGACAAATGATGAGAGAATTAAGAAACAAAGCGAAGACAGCAAGATATAATGTGTAATATTCATGAGAAGGGTATCATGCACCAAAAGCCCAACCCTAATCCCACCCCTTAATCAATAAAATTACTTACAAAAGTAAGTATGGGAATGGATTCACAAGCGAAAGCAATTAAATTACTAGGGACTAATGCTGCATTTCATCTGAGACATAGTAATTAACTAGGTATCCACTTTTTGCACATGTTAAACACGAAGTAGAAGGTGCTAGCTTAAGCCAGATGATAGCTCAGCTAACGAGAAGTAACTCACTGCTAGCTCAATCATTTGGATCAGGTGACTACAACCAAGGATTTTGTCTAAAAATTCTTCACCCAAAATCAGAAACTGTTTTAAAGCCTCGAACACCAACCATGATCTTGACCTAACTTACTCAAAACTCCTCTGATTTTCTTTTACATTACAAACTGCAACAACAGATCAAAAGCTCTGAGGAGCTTTGAGGAGTACTGCCTGAGTTAAGGTGTGCTCATAGGGGGTGTATTTAAATCAGTGCCTCTCGCCATTTCAACTCTGTGTCGCTTTCTAGTTTCATCAAAGGCCCCGTCTTCATCTACATCTGCCCCAAAATAAATAGATTATACAATTTTTTAAAATACTTTTAAAAATGGATTAAGCAGAGAGACAGAAAGATCTGCACAGTTCGAATGATAGTTTCTCTGTACCTGAAAGCTGATTCATGTGAAGACAGGATGAGAATGAAGTCAATATTTCCAAATAACTTTGGTATGCGCTTATTCTGAAATATATTTTTTCTTCTTAGCCTAATCAAGTTAATTTCAAACTATACCAAGCTAAGCAGAATAAAGACTTACTTAAAATATGGTACCATCATTCACAGGAGTCTTCTTGCAAAATAACTACTGTAAATTAAATAAATTCTCTAGTATATCACACAGTAACTTTGCTCTGTAGACAAAACCTAAAAAGCTAAACAAATTGACTGAGTTTATATATTTAAAATAACTTCTGTGCCTTCTTGATTTTGAAGGCAGGGGCTCTAAACAGAGTTCTAGCTTCCCTTCTCCCCTCCTCAAGTAATCAAAAAACCTGGAAGTTACCTTCCTCATGGTTTCAGTTTAATAATAAAAGAAAGCTGCTTCTAGAGAAATAACGTCAAGAAATTAGGATTTTTCTTTTCTACATCATCTCCTGGAGCCACATGACTCAATAAGAATCTCAGTTTTCTAGCTCTCATGGCTGCTTTCATCCAGAAAATATCTTGGATGGAAGGCAAGTTCAGAAGAAGCAATTCTTGACCCTGTTTTTTAATCAGAAAACTCAGAATACAGATATTTTAAATAGCTTTCCTTCAAAATGTGACCCTTAAATACATACAGACAAAACCCCAAATAAATAGAACCTTGTAGTTTTTCAATTCTCTGATTTCTAAGTGAAGTTATTTTGATGATTTGGATCACAATCTTTAAAAACTTGGAGCTGGAACCAGTGCTTAAAAGAAAAACTGGTTTCTCTGTTCCTCGGTACCAAACCACAGTCACATACATTTCTTCAGCCTGTAGGTAAAACAGCATAATACTTAACCATGATTTAAGCTGTGCCTCTAAGTTTGGTAGCATTTTATCCCTATTTTTTATCCTATCCACACTACCGGAAAGGCAGTGGAGAATGAGGAGTAGAGTGTGCGCCTTGCTGTTGGGGTGGGGGGCTGTGCATCATTTATTTAAACGATTACAGTGAATTGGCTACAGTTGGACATATATGTGCTCCCAAAGGGATTTTTCCTAGCACATTTTGTCCAGCTCTTACTTGTTTCTTCTGGGCTTGATCCAAAACCAATAAGTCCACTGGAGGTTTTCAATTCAATTCAAAAGGCTTTGAATCAGGCCATTTACTCTGTTTGCAACAAAAATTTGCAGAGC